GCTCGGTCCTCCCCTCCAGCTCCGTGGCTTGATGACTCATTGCGAGCTCACAGAACAGAGCTCCGGGCAGCGGAGCGGAAATGGAAGAAAACTAAACTCCCTGCCGACCTGGCATCTTTTCACTCCCTCCTCTCTACATTTTCTTCATCTGTTTCTGCTGCTAAGGCCACCTTCTACCACTCTAAATTCCAAGCATCTGCCTCTAACCCTAGGAAGCTCTTTGCCACATTTTCCTCCCTCCTGAATCCCCCCCCCCCCCCCCCCCCCCCCCTCCTCCTCTCTCTCTGTGGATGACTTCGTCAACCACTTTGAAAAGAAGGTTGACGACATCCGATCCTCGTTTGTTAAGTCTAATGACACTGCTGGTCCTGCTCACACTGCCCTACCCTATGCTTTGACTTCTTTCTCCCCTCTCTCTCCAGATAAAATCCTGCGACTTGTGACTGCAGGCCGCCCAACAACCTGCCCGCTTGACCCCATCCCCTCCTCCCTTCTCCAGACCATCTCCGGTGACCTTCTCCCCTACCTCACCTCGCTGATCAACTCATCCCTGACCGCTGGCCATGTCCCTTCCGTCTTCAAGAGAGCGAGAGTTGCTCCCCTTCTCAAAAAACCAACACTCGACCCCACTGATGTCAACAACTACAGACCAGTATCCCTTCTTTCTTTTCTGTCCAAAACTATTGAGCGTGCCGTCTTTAGCCAACTCTCTTGCTATCTCTCTCAGAATGACCTTCTTGATCCAAACCAATCAGGTTTCAGGACTGGTCATTCAACTGAGACTGCTCTTCTCTGTGTCACGGAGACTCTCCGTACTGCTAAAGCTAACTCTCTCTCCTCTGCTCTTGTCCTTCTAGACCTGTCTGCTGCCTTTGATACTGTGAACCATCAGATCCTCCTCTCCACCCTCTCCGAGCTGGGCATTTCCGGCGCGGCTCACTCCTGGATTGCGTCCTACCTGACCGGTCGCTCCTACCAAGTGGCGTGGCGAGAAGTTGTCTCCGCACCACGTGCCCTCACCACTGGTGTCCCCCAGGGCTCAGTTCTAGGCCCTCTCCTTTTCTCCCTATACACCAAGTCACTTGGCTCTGTCATATCCTCACATGGCCTTTCATATCATTGCTACGCTGACGATACACAACTAATCTTCTCCTTTCCCCCTTCTGATAACCAGGTGGCGAATCGCATCTCTGCATGTCTGGCAGACATATCAGTATGGATGACGGATCACCACCTCAAGCTGAACCCTGGCAAGACGGAGCTGCTCTTCCTCCCGGGGAAGGACTGCCCGTTCCATGATCTCGCCATCACGGTTGACAACTCCGCTGTGTCCTCCTCCCAGAGTGCGAAGAGCCTAGGCGTGACCCTGGACAACACCCTGTCGTTCTCCGCCAACATCAAGGCGGTGACCCGATCCTGCAGGTTCATGCTCTACAACATTCGGAGAGTACGACCCTGCCTTACACAGGAAGCGGCACAGGTCCTAATCCAGGCACTTGTCATCTCCCGTCTGGACTATTGCAACTCGCTGTTGGCTGGCCTCCCTGCCTGTGCCATTAAACCCCTACAACTCATCCAGAATGCCGCAGCCCGTCTGGTGTTCAACCTTCCCAAGTTCTCTCACGTCACCCCCCCTCCTCCGCACACTCCACTGGCTTCCAGTTGAAGCTCGCATCCGCTACAAGACCATGGTGCTTGCCTATGGAGCAGTGAGGGGAACGGCACCTCTGTACCTTCAGGCTCTGATCAGTCCCTACACCCAAACGAGGGCATTGCGTTCATCCACCTCTGGCCTGCTGGCTCCCCTTCCTCTGCGGAAGCATAGTTCCCGCTCAGCCCAGGCAAAACTGTTCGCTGCTCTGGCACCCCAATGGTGGAACAAGCTCCCTCACGACGCCAGGACAGCGGAGTCACTCACCACCTTCCGGAGACATTTGAAACCCCACCTCTTTAAGGAATACCTGGGATAGGATAAAGCAATCCTTCTACCCCCCCCCCCCCCCCCCCCCCCCCCCCCCCCCCCCCCCCCCACACACACAGCGGAGTCGCTCACCCCCTTTCGGAGACATTTGAAACCCCACCTCTTTAAGGAATACCTGGGATAGGATAAAGTAATCCTTCTACCACCCCCCCCCCCCCCCCCCCCCCCCCCCCCACACACACAGCGGAGTCGCTCACCCCCTTTCGGAGACATTTGAAACCCCACCTCTTTAAGGAATACCGGGGATAGGAAAAAGTAATCCTTCTACCCCCCCCCCCCCCACCCCACAGCGGAGTCACTCACCACCTTCCGGAGACATTTGAACCCCCCCCCCCCCCCCCCCCCCCAAATTGTAAAGTGGTTATCCCACTGGCTATAGGGTAAACGCACCAATTTGTGAGTCGCTCTGGCTAAGAGCGTCTGCTAAATGACGTTAATGTGCCCTTGAGCAAGGCACTTAACCCCAATTGCTCCTGTAAGTCGCTCTGGATAAGAGCGTCTGCTAAATGACTAAAATGTAAATGTAAATAATAACCAAATATAGCCTATTAATAACTGCATATAGAGAGAATGCATGCCAACCTATAGAGCTTGCCAACCTATAGAGCTCGACAGCTTGTAGTCCTAAAAACCAGAAATGAGTTACCTCTGGTTCGTTCAGCCATCCCTATAGGGAAAATGTATGGGGAAAGAATAGGGTTTTGGCATAAACGCCGAAAAGAATGTCTGAGGTTAACACCTGCTTAAGATATCTTATACCTTTTGTTCTATGAGATAATATCAGTCAGTTAATATGACCTTTATGCATTGTAAAGCCCAGTGGAGGCTGCTGAAGGGAGAACGGCTCCTAATAATGGCTGGAAAGCATCAAATGGAATGGCATCAAACTCACTAGTCATCCCCAAAGCCAACACCTCCTTTGGCCGCCATTCCTTCCAGTTCTCTGCTGCCAATGACTGGAATGAACTGCAAAAATCTCTGAAGCTGGAGACTCTTATCTTCCTCACTAACTTTAAGCATCAGTTGTCAGAGCAGCTTACCGATCACTGCACCTGTACACAGCCCATCTGTAATTAGCCCACCCAACTACCTCATCCCCATATTGTTATTTATTTTGCTCATTTGCACCCCAGTATCGCTATTTGCACATTATCTTCTGCACATCTATATAATATAATATAATATGCCATTTAGCAGACGCTTTTATCCAAAGCGACTTACAGTCGTGCGTGCATACATTTTTGTGTATGGGTGGTCCCGGGGATCGAACCCACTACCTTGGCGTTACAAGCGCCGTGCTCTACCAGCTGAGCTACAGAGGACCACATCTATCACAATCTATCATTCCAGTGTTAATACTAAATTGTAATTATTTTGCACTATGGTCTATTTATTGCCTTACCTCCATAACTTTCTACATTTGCACACACTGTATATAGATGTTCTATTGTGTTATTGACTGTACGTTTTGTTTATCCCATATGTAACTCTGTGTTGTTGTTTTTTTATCGCACTGCTTTGCTTTATCTTGGCCAGGTCGCAGTTGTAAATGAGAACTTATTGTTTTCAATTGGCTTACCTGGTTAAATAAAGGTTAAATAAATAAAATAAAAACACATAGAAACCATTTGTTTGATACCATTCCACAAAATCCGCTCCAGCCATCACCACTAGCCGTCCTCCCCAATTAAGGTGCCCCCAACCTCCTGTGGTAAAGCCTTTATGTGTTTTATGTGCTTTATTTAATTACATAAATGCTTCAAAATTCACATAGCTGATTAAGATGATCACATAGAACAAAACGTATTACCACAGACCTTATTTTTCGGCTTTTATCCAAAAACCCTACAGAAACTCCATTATTTTCCCCATGGGCCTTGGCCAACAAGCCGTGGCAGAGTTAGTGCCTACAAAAAGACGCCATTACTATTGCGCTCTATAGGCCCTTCATGACCCCAATGCATTAAATTAAAAAACAAAAAAAACATGTCAAGGCCAGTAGAAATTGTGTTCGGGCCAATGAGAAAAAAAGTTAACATTGGACCCTGTCATAGCTTATGAATAGAACCCAGAGTTTTACCTGACCAGGTCAAGAGATCAGGAAAAACACCCCGAAAAGACGTATGAATTTTGCCACACCACTTTTGAACCTGTGGTGCCGGCTCTGAGTCGGTTGCTTCAGCCTTACCACACAAACGAGCACATTGATTACTCTTCTTAAAATTGGGTTTTAAAACTAACCCTAACCTCAACCACACTGCTAACCTTATGCCTAACCCTAACCTTAAATTAAGAACAAAAAGCACATTTTTGTTTTCATAAATCTTTACGATATAGCGTATTTGACTTTGTGGCTGTGGTAACTAATGGAAACCATTGGTATTGCCATTGGTATTTTTCTCTGCTCCACACCCACACTGTTTAGCCCAATGAAAAATCTCCAAATCAACCGTAACTATGGCGTTTCCAGGAAGTGATCCTCAACCGGAATTATTCCGACCGCCTCCCCAACATGACATGAGGCCCCATCGCACCATGCGTACTAGCAAGAACAAACCGGCTTGAGTAGAGCTCAACAACGTCAGGGCTGACAACAACTAGCTAAATAGCTGTCATTTGAGAGATAAAGTGCAGACCGAACGGCGCTTTGGGGCAAGTACAGTTGCGTGTTTTGGTGTGGTCATTTTTAGTGATTTGGTCCATATGCATCATTATGTTTCTAATCACTTTGACATTATTCAGCAATATTTGAGCAGGTGGACTCTAGGGCCTGAGTAGGATTTAAAAGCCAGAGGATTTTCCAACCGAGACAGGCACACCACCCGGTTGCTTACTAGACCAGTTGGGCCAATATTATCGTCCTTGCTATTGTGGAAATAGTTCGATAATTTTTATATTGCTATATTTGTCTTGAGCCTTACCACAAGCTGCCCGTGTTAACTCGTTATCGCAGTCCATATTTTCATGCTGCTACTACTACTGTTCCAGGTCCTGAATAGACACAGCGCCAGCGGAAGAAATGGCGGACGACCCCAACGCAGCGGATAGGAACGTGGAGATATGGAAGATAAAGAAGTTGATCAAAAGTCTGGAAGCTGCTCGGGGGTACGTATGGACATGACAAGTGCATGGGGTTGTCAGTGACTTTCTTCATCACATTGAACCACTAAACAAGGGGCTAGCTATTGCTAGCTTAGTAGCTAACTAGCTACTACCTATCTGGAAGCTATTACAAGGCCCGTACAAATTAACATTAGCTAGCTAGCAAGTGGCGTTAATAGTTTTAGTATTTATTTCAACGCATAACTAGCTAGTTAGCTAACCAGCTAGATCACTTGGCATTGATCTACGTTTCGTAACGTTAGCTAGCTTGCTATTAGTTGTGTAATGGCTTCTTTACATTCAGCAACCAAGCTTGCAATACGTACAAGTGGTATCTGACATTCACAGCTAGCTAGCTGATAATACAATCCGAATCTACATTTTAGTCATTTAGCAGACGCTCTTATCCAGAGCGACTTACAGTTAGTACACGTTGTTTTGATATAACAAGCACATAACTGATGCCCAACCATATCTAGCTAGTTTTTATATTACATTTATTTGAGTGACAGTGGACAAACGTTTGCTGCTTTAAAGTAAAATGTGATGTACTTTCGTGGCAGGTTTTCACTGACGGTCTTAACCAGTCAGTGTCGCTTAAATAGGCCTTTAATAGCTGGGAATAGACCTGTCACTCAGCCAGAGTTGCTGATGATGTAGTTCATTTTAGAGCAAAGGGTCAAGCAATACCTAAGCCTTACTTCACCTGCTTGACCCTGCATCAAACTTTCAGGTACTTCACTTAGCTACATTCCACACCTGTCCTGTGCATGAGCACTCTTTCGCCCTGGGTGGTTATCTATATAGTCCAGTGGGTCATATTGTTTAATGAGTTAAGTCAGTGCACAAACTACTGTGACCTTCACCCCCTTGACTAGGAACAGCAACAAGTTTGTATTGTCAACATGATGGTCAAAACAAAAAGGTGGAAATATGAAGACGGGCAAGGTCACACTCCCATTAGGCCTGTAGTAATGTCCTCATCTGAACCTGTCATAAGAGCTTGCCTTAGAGCAGTCGGGTTTGATGCTATAGTTGTATGAAAAGGACATGCTTGGGTAAACAGGTCATGGCCTGTGGTTCCTGTATAGTCCAGTGGGTCAAGTTGTTTAATGAGTTTACTCAGTGCACAAACTACTGTGACTTTAACCCCCTTGACTAGGTACAGCGACAAGTTTGTATTGTCAACATGGTGGTCAAAACCAAAAAAACTTGGAAATACTACTTGGGCAAGGTCACACTCCCACTATAAAAAACTGCCATATTTTCTTATAATCGGGGCCAAGTCTTAATGCCATGTATGGTTTTGTAGGTATGTGTTAGTGCTTTAATACAATACTAACAAGTAATTGTTCAAATACCTTTCATGCCAAAAAATCTCTGCTTGGTAATGGAGTCACAGCCAGTTAACATCTATTTTGGGGTGGGGGGGGGTATATGCAAACCTGCATAACATGCGGTTCTTTAGTGATAGTCCATTAATGTAACATATCAGCTAATAAAGTACTTAGTTGATGATATCAACACCAATTCTGGTATAATTTAATGCAATATTTCATCATGAAAATACAGATCATCCAAAGATGTCTGGTAACTGAGTTGGCTGGTAACTGAGTTAAAAACGTGCAAAATAGCATATTGCAATAAAGTGATCTCTGGATCCTGATTGGGACTCAAAATGCATCAATCTTATGTAAAGGAAGATATTGTTTCATTTCTGGGCAGCTGTGACTCCATCACCAAGCACAAATATTTTTTTTTGCATGAAATATATTTAAACAATTATTTGTTAGTGTTGCATTAAAGCACTGACAAATACCTACAAAAAGACTACATGACCAAATGTATGTAGACACCTGCTCATCGAACATCTCATTCCAAAATCATAGGAATTAATATGGAGTTGGTCCGCCCTTTGCTGCTATAACAGCCTCCACTCTTCTGGGAAGGCTTTCCACTCGATGTTGGAACATTGCTGCGGGGACTTGCTTCCATTCAGCCACAAGCATTAGTGAGGTCGGACACTGATGTTGGGCGCTTAGGCCTGGTGAAGGTCACAGTAGTTTGTAAACTCATTAAACAACTTGACCCACTGGACTATACAGGAACCACAGACCATGACTTCTCCAGTCAACTGAAGTGCTGTTATTGTGAAGTGGAAATGTCTAGGAGCAACAACAGCTCAGCCGCAAAGTGGTAGGCCACACAAGCTCACAGAACGGGACCGCTGAGTGCTGAAGCTCGTAAAAACCGTCTGTCCTCTGTTGCAACACTCACTACCGAGTTCCAAACTGCCTCTGGAAGCAACGTCAGCACAAGAACTGTTCTTCGGTAGCTTCATGAAATGGGTTTCCACGGCCGAGCAGCCGCACACAAGCCTAAGATCACCATGTGCAATGCCAATCATTGGCTGGAGTGGTGTAAAGCTCGCTGCCATTGGACTCGGGAGCAGTATAAACATGTTCTCTGGAGAGATGAATCATGCTTCACCATCTGGGATCTGATGGACAAATCTGGGTTTGGCGAATGCCAGGAGAACATTACCTGCCCGACTGCACAGTGCCAACTGTTAAGTGTGGTGGAGGAGGAATAATGGTCTGGGGCTGTTTTTCATGTTTCGGGCTAGGCCCCTTAGTTCCAGTGAAGGGAAATCTTAACGCTACAGCATACAATGACATTCTAGACTATTCTGTGCTCCCAACTTTGTGGCAACAGTTTGGGGAAGGCCCTTTCCTGTTTCAGAATGATAATGCCCCTGTGCACAAAGCGAGGTCCATACAGAAATGGTTTGTCGAGATCGATGTGGAAGAACGTGATTGGCCTGCACAGAACCCTGACCTCAACCCCATTGAACACTTTTAGGATTAATTGGAACGCAGACTGCGAGCCAGGCCTAATAGCCCAACATCACTAATGTTGTTGTGGCTGAATGGAAGCAAGTCCCCGCAGCAATGTTCCAACATCGAGTGAAAAGCCTTCCCTGAAGAGTGGAGGCTGCTTATAGCAGCAAAGGGGGACCAACTCCATATTCATGCCCATGATTTTGGAATGAGATGTTTGACAAGCAGATGTCCACATACTTTTGGTCGTGTGTGTATACATACATGTATACATACAGTACCAGTCAAGTTTGGACACACCTACTCATTCAAGGGTTTTTCTTTATTTTGACTATTTTCTACATTGTAGAGTAATAGTGAAGACATCAAAACTATGAAATAACACATTTTAGTCATTTAGCAGACACTCTTATCCAGAGCGACTTACAGTTAGTGAGTGCATACATTTTCATACTGGCCCCCTGTGGGAAACGAACCCAGAACCCTGGCGTTGCAAGCGCCATGCTCTACCAACTGAGCTATAGGGGAGCACATATGGAATCATGTAGTAACCAAAAAAGTGTTAAACAAATCAAAATATATTTGAGATTCTTCAAATAGCCACCCTTTGCCTTGATGACAGCGTTGCACACTCTTGGCATTCTCTCAACCAGTTTCACCTGGAATTATTTTCCAACAGTCTTGAAGGAGTTCCCACATTTGCTTAGCACTTGTTGGATGCTTTTCCTTCGATCTGTCATCCGACTAATCCCAAACCAGCTCAATTGGGTTGAGGTCGGGGGATTGTGCAGGCCAGGTCACCTGATGCAGCACTCCATCACTCTCCTTGGTAAAATAGCCCTTACACAGCCTGGAGGTGTGTTTGGTCATTGTCCTGTTGAAAAACAAATGATAGTCCCACTAAGCCCAAACCAGATGGGATGGCGTATCGCTGCAGAATGCTGTGGGAGCCATGCTGGGTAAGTGTGCCTTGAATTCTAAATAAATCACAGACAGTGTCACCAGCAAAGCACCCCCACACCATAACACCTCCTCCATGCTTTACGGTGGGCACTACACATGCAGAGATAATCCATTCACCCACACCGCGTCTCACAAAGACACGGCGGTTGGAACCCAAAATCTCCAATTTGGACTCCAGACCAAAGGACACATTTCCACTGGTCTAATGTCCATTGCTCGTGTTTCTTGGCCCAAGCAGGTCTCTTCTTCTTATTGGTGTCCTTTAGTAGTGGTTTCTTTGCAGCAATTCGACCATGACGTCCAGATTTACACAGTCCCCTCTGAACAGTTGATGTTGAGATGTGTCTGTGACTTGAACTCTGAAGCATTTATTTGGGCTGCAATTTCTGAGGCTGGTAACTCTAATGAATTTATCCTCTGCAGCAGAGGTAACTCTGGGTCTTCCATTTCTGTGGTGGTCCTCATGAGAGCCAGTTTGATCATAGCGCTTGGTTTTTGCGACTGCACTTGAAACTTTCAAAGTTCTTGAAATGTTCTGTATTGACTGACCTTCATGTCTTAAAGTAATGATGGACTGTCATTTCTCTTTGCTTATTTGAGCATTTCTTGCCATAATATGGACTTGGTCTTTTACCAAATAGGGCTATCTTCTGTAAACCCCCCCACCTTGTCACAACACAACTGATTGACTCAAACGCATTAAGAAGGCACAACTGTTAATTGAAATACATTCCAGGTGACTATCTTATGAAACTGGTTGAGAGAATGCCAAGAGTGTGCAAAGCTGTCAAGGCAAAGGGTGGCTATTTGAAGAATCTCAAATAAAAAATATAATTTGATTTGTTTAACACTTTTTTTGGTTACTACATGATTCCATATGTGTTATTTCATAGTTGTGATGTCTTCACTATTATTCCACAATATAAAAATAAAGAAACTCTTGAATGAGTAGGTTTGTCTAAACTTTTGACTCGTAGTGTGTGTGTGTGTGTGTGTGTGTGTGTGTGTATGCATACATACATCTATCTGGGGGGAGATCGCTGCTGGGCTTAGCTATGTTCCCTGCAAGCTTGATCTGATTGATGTTAATTATCTTGTGTTGAGTGCACTTTCTGTAGACCTACCTGATTTTTAAAAGCGTTTGCAGAAACCAGAATATTAATACTGCTCACATTCTTATGTTGAGAGCATTTGTAACTCCATAAAAATGTTTGTTAATGTAGATGCTAGCCATGGCGTGACCTTCACCTACTGTAGTAATGTCCTCATCTGACAACCTGTCATAACTTGCCTTAGAGCAGTCGGGATTGATGCTATACCTGTATGAGAAGGACATGCTTGGGTAAACAGGACACATCTACATGAAGGGCAGGTTAAGCAAGCCATAACCTGTGGTTCCTGTTTTTACAAAGTTGTCTCAATGTGTGGTGTTTCAATAAATCGCTTGCAGACATCATTTCGCCTGAGTTACTGAGCAACTTAGTTTACAACTCAAAGGAAGTGCTAGAATATGCCTTGTGCTTTTAAAGTGGGTTTAATGCAATTGATCTCCTCTCAGGAATGGCACAAGTATGATCTCCTTGATCATCCCACCTAAGGACCAGATCTCCAGAGTGGCCAAGATGTTGGCTGATGAGTTTGGCACTGCATCCAACATTAAAAGCAGAGTCAACAGGCTCTCTGTGCTTGGAGCCATCACCTCTGTACAGCAGAGACTCAAACTCTACCATAAAGGTGTGTGTGTGAAGTCATTAGTTACACCCTATCTCTCCTGTATTAAGTAATTTGGGGTGGTCCTGGCTGGGTTATTTTACATTTACATTTTAGTCATTTAGCAGACGCTCTTATCCAGAGCGACTTACAGTTAGTGAGGGCATACATTATTTTTTTCATACTGTTAATGGTTATGGCCATTTCTCATTTCATTCTAGTGATCTCTGAGAGCTAACTTCTTTTTTTTACCCTGCAGTGCCTCCCAACGGCTTGGTTGTGTACTGTGGCACCATTGTGACTGACGAGGGCAAAGAGAAAAAAGTCAATATTGACTTTGAGCCTTTTAAACCCATCAACACTTCTCTGTATCTCTGTGACAACAAGTTCCACACAGAGGTAAGGTTGTTCAATACCCCTCTGTCCATTATTTTCCCACCTCACTAGATCTTTCCCCATGGGCTTATTTGACTGGGAAATCCTGAGTTTTGGATTGCATTGCCCTATTGGAACAAAACACTTCTGATGGTATGAAGATTCTGTGTTGCTTGTTTTTGTGTTACTTGCCTTTGTGTGTGTAGCGTGAAGTTAGGCATAGTCAAAATATTGACCACATTTCTAATTAGATAGCATTTTTTTTGTCTCTCTCCCAGGCTCTTACAGCATTGCTCTCAGATGACAGCAAGTTTGGTTTCATTGTGATTGATGGAAGTGGTGCCCTCTTCGGAACTTTACAGGGCAACACCAGGGAGGTGCTGCACAAGTTCACTGTGGACCTACCCAAGAAGCACGGTTAAAAACCTTACATTCTCATACAATATACACTCATGAACAGAATTACAGCCAGCCTGTCCACACACAACCATGTATAACAAACGGTTCTCTTTCAGGCAGAGGAGGACAGTCTGCCTTGCGTTTTGCTCGTTTGAGGATGGAGAAGAGACACAACTACGTGCGAAAGGTGGCAGAGACGGCGGCCACGCTTTTCTTGTGCAACGACAAGGTCAACGTAGCAGGCATGGTCTTAGCTGGTTCAGCTGACTTCAAGACGGAGCTCAGCCAGTCAGACATGTTTGACCCGGTCAGTATCTCCAGACCCACCATTCCAGGTCTTTCTGGTGCCATTGTCAGCATTGCCATTGTAGCGTTATATGGCTTATATGTGATCTGTTTGTTGACTGATTATGTCTGACTCGTGTCCATGCAGAGGCTACAAGCAAAGATCCTGAAGCTGGTTGACATATCATATGGTGGGGAGAATGGGTTCAACCAAGCCATTGAACTGTCCGCAGAAGTGCTTACCAATGTGAAATTCATCCAGGAGAAGAAACTAATAGGTACTTGCATACAGTACAGCTGATCTGTTGTTCATTTGTGTGAATGTCTACTCCGATACAGTGAGGGGAAAAAAGTATTTGATCCCGTGCTGATTTTGTACGTTTGCCCACTGACAAAGAAATGATCAGTCTATAATTTTAATGGTAGGTTTATTTAAACAGTGAGAGACAGAATAACAACAACAAATCCAGTAAACGCATGTCAAAAATGTTATTAATTGATTTGCATTTTAATGAGGGAAATAAGTATTTGACCCCCTCTCAATCAGAAAGATTTCTGGCTCCCAGGTGTCTTTTATACAGGTAACGAGCTGAGATTAGGAGCAGACTCTTAAAGGGAGTGCTCCTAATCTCAGCTTGTTATCTGTATAAAAGACACCTGTCCACAGAAGCGATCAATCAATCAGATTCCAAACTCTCCACCATGGCCAAGACCAAAGAGCTTTCCAAGGATGTCAGGGACAAGATTGTAGACCTACACAAGGCTGGAATGGGCTACAAGACCATCGCCAAGCAGCTTGGTGAGAAGGTGACAACAGTTGGTGCAATTATTCGCAAATGGAAGAAACACAAAAGAACTGTCAATCTCCCTCGGCCTGGGGCTCCATGCAAGATCTCACCTCGTGGAGTTGCAATGATCATGAGAACGGTGAGGAATCAGCCCAGAACTACACGGGAGGATCTTGTCAATGATCTCAAGGCAGCTGGGACCATAGTCACCAAGAAAACAATTGGTAACACACTACGCCGTGAAGAAAGCACATATACATACATGCCTGTCTGAAGTTTTCCAATGAACATCTGAATGATTCAGAGGAGAACTGGGTGAAAGTGTTGTGGTCAGATGAGAAGAAAATCGAGCTCTTTGGCATCAACTCAACTCGGCGTGTTTGGAGGAGGAGGAATGCTGCCTATGACCCCAAGAACACCATCCCCACCGTCAAACATGGAGGTGGAAACATTATGCTTTGGGGGTGTTTTTCTGCTAAGGGGACAGGACAACTTCACCGCATCAAAGGGACGATGGACGGGGCCATGTACCGTCAAATCTTGGGTGAGAACCTCCTTCCCTCAGCCAGGGCATTGAAAATGGGTCGTGGATGGGTATTCCAGCATGATAATGACCCAAAACACACGGCCAAGGCAACAAAGGAGTGGCTCAAGAAGAAGCACATTAAGGTCCTGGAGTGGCCTAGCCAGTCTTCAGACCTTAATCCCATAGAAAATCTGTGGAGGGAGCTGAAGGTTCGAGTTGCCAAACGTCAGCCTCGAAACCTTAATGACTTGGAGAAGATCTGCAAAGAGGAGTGGGACAAAATCCCTCCTGAGATGTGTGCAAACCTGGTGGCCAACTACAAGAAACATTTGACCTCTGTGATTGCCAACAAGGGTTTTGCCACCAAGTACTAAGTCATGTTTTGTAGAGGGGTCAAATACTTATTTCCCTCATTTAAATGCAAATCAATTTATAACATTTTTGACATGCGTTTTTCTGGATTTTTTTTTGTTATTCTGTCTCTCACTGTTCAAATAAACCCACCATTAAAATTATAGACTGATCATTTCTTTGTCAGTGGGCAAACGTACAAAATCTGCAGGGGATCAAATACTTTTTTCCCTCACTGTATCTGTCGAGTGCTTGAGTGTCATTCTGGGATAGACATTATCCATCCTGTTGTCATATTGGTAACATAGAGGACCTTTTCTCCCAGGACGATACTTTGATGAGATCAGCCAGGATACGGGGAAGTACTGCTTTGGGGTGGAAGACACACTGAAAGCCATGGAAATGGGTGCTGTTGAGATCTTGATTGTCTATGAGAACCTGGATACCATGAGATACATCCTACGATGCCACGGAGCAGAGGGACTTGCTATGGCGGAGAAGGGTACAGGTATGTAAATGTGTGCGGCACACACTATACAAAATGCATCCAGTTGAGGGATGATATGATGGCACTGGAGAAGATGGCTGCCGTTTTACTGCCCTCTAACCAATTGTACTATTATGTGTGTTTTTTCCCGTTATTTGTAATTTATTCTGTACATAATGTTTCTGCCATCGTCTCTTATAACCAAAAAGCGCTTCTGGATATCAGGACAGTGATTACTCACCTCGTATTGGAAGAATATTTTTTTTTCAACGAGGCGGCCGCGAAGGATATCCTACAGACACCCGACAAGGCCCAAATCCCTGTCATTCGCAGGAGAAAGAGACTGATATAACGTGGACGTAGGTCGGGGTGCCTCGTAAGGATCTGACGGCGAGCGAGTAAACTGCCTTTTCCATCAATCCTATTAGCCAATCTTCAGTCATTGTAAAATAAATTAGATGACCTACGATTACGCTTATCCTACCAACGGGACATTAAAAACTGTAATATCTTATGTTTCACCGAGTCGTGGCTTAACGACTACATGGACAACATACAGCTAGCGGGCTATACGCTACATCGGCAGGATAGAACGGCTGACTCCGGTAAGACAAGGGGTGGCAGTCTGTGTATATTTGTAAACAGCTGGTGCACAAAATCAAATACTAAGGAAGTCTCGAGGTTTTGCTCGCCTGAGGTAGAGTACCTTATGATAAGCTGTCGACCACACTATTTATCAAGAGTTTTCATCTATATTTTTCATAGCTGTCTATTTACCACCACAAACCAATGCTGGCATTAAGATTGCACTTAATGAGCTGTATAAGGCCATAACTAAACAGGAAAACGCTCATCCAGAGGCAGTGCTCCTAGTGGCCGGGGACTTTAATGCAGGGAAACTTAAATCCGTTCTACCTAATTTCTACCAGCATGTTAAATGTGCAACCAGAGGGGGAAAAAAAACTCTAGACCAGCTTTACTCCACACACAAAGATGCATACAAAGCTCTCCCTCGCCCTCCATTTGGCAAATCTGACCATAACTCTATCCTCCTGATTCCTGCTTATAAGCAAAAACCAAAGTAGGAAGCACCAGTGACTCGGTTAATAAGGAAGTGGTCAAATGACGCTGATGCTAAGCTACAGGACTGTTTTGCTAGCACAGACTGGAACATGTTCCGGGATTCTTCAGATAGCATTGAGGAGTACACCATCAGTCACTGGCTTCATCTATAAGTGCATCGATGACGTCGTCCCCACAGTGACCGAACGTACATACCCCAACCAGAAGCCATGGATTACAGGCAACATCCGCACTGAGCTAATGGGTAGAGCTGCCACTTTCAAGGAGTGGGACTCTAACCCGGATGCTTATAAGAAATCCCGCTACGCCCCCCGACGAACCATCAAACAGGCAAAGATTCAATACAGGACTAAGATTGAATCGTACTACACCGGCTCTGACGCTCGTCGGATGTGGCAGGGCTTGAAAACTTTTACAGACTACAAAGGGAAGCACAGCCGCAAGCTGCCCAGTGAGACAAGCCTACCAGACGAGCTAACCCACTTCTATGCTCGCTTCGAGGCAAGCAACACTGAAGTATGCAAGAGAGCACCAGCTGTTCCGGATGACTATGTGATCATGCTCTCCGTAGCTGATGTGAATGACTTTTAAGCAGGTCAACATTCACAAGGCCGCAGGGCCAGAAGGATTACCATGACGTGTACTCCGAGCATGTGCTGATCAACTGGCAAGTGTCTTCACGGACATTTTCAACATGTCTGTAATACCAACATGTTTCAAGCAGACCACCATAGTCCCCGTGCCCAAGGACACTAAGATAACCTGCCTAAATGACTACCGACCCGTAGCACTGACGTCTGTAGCCATGAAGTGCTTTGAAAGGCTGGTCATGGCTCACATCAACACCATTATCCCAGAAACCCTAGACCCACCATAATTTGCATACCGCCCCAACAGATCCACAGATGATGCAATCTTTATTGCACTCCACACTGCCCTTTCCCACCTGGACAAGAGGAACACCTACGTGAGAATGCTATTCATTGACTACAGCTCAGCGTTCAACACCATAGTGCCCTCAAAGCTCATCACTAAGCTAAGGATCCTGGGACTAAACACCTCCCTCTGCAACTGGATCCTGGACTTCCTGACGGGCCGCCCACAGGTGGTAAGGGTAGGTAACAACACATCTGCCACGCTGATCCTCAACACGGGGGCCCCTCAGGGGTGCGTGCTCAGTCCCCTCCTGTACTCCCTGTTCACCCATGACTGCATGGCCAGGCACGACTCCAACACCATCATTAAGTTTGCCGACGACAGAACAGTGGTAGGCCTGATCACCGACAACGATGAGATAGCCTATAGGGAGGAGGTCAGAGACCTGGCCGTGTGGTGCCAGGATAACAACCTCTCCCTCAACGTGACCAAGACAAAGGAGATGAATGTGGACTACAGGGAAAAAAAAGAGGACTGAACACGCCCCCATTCTCATCGAAGGGGCTGAAGTGGAACAGGTTGAGAGCTTCAAGTTCCTTGGTGTCCACATCACCAACGAACTATCATGGTCCAAACATACCAAGACCGTCGTGAAGAGGGCACGACAAAGCCTATTCCCCCTCAGGAGACTGAAAAGATTTGGCATGGGTCCTCAGATCCTCAAAAAGTTCTACAGCTGCACCATCGAGCGCATCCTGACTGGTTGCATCACCGCCTGTTATGGCAACTGCTCGGCCTCCGACCGCAAGGCACTACAGAGGGTAGTGCGTACGGCCCAGTACATCACTGGGGCCAAGCTTCCTGCCATCCAGGACCTCTATACCAGGCGGTGTCAGAGGAAGGCCCTCAAAATTGTCAGACTCCAGCCACCCTAGTCATAGATTGTTCTCTCTGCTACCGCACGGCAAGCGGTACCGGAGTGCCAAGTCTAGGTCCAAAAGTCTTCTCAACAGCTTCTACCCCCAAGCCATAAGACTCCTGAACAGCTAATCATGGCTACCTGGACTATTTGCACCCCCACCCCATCTTTTTACGCTGCTGCTACTCTGTTAATTATTTATGCATAGTCACTAACTCCACCCACATGTACATACAGTGGGGAAAAAAAGTATTTAGTCAGCCACCAATTGTGCAAGTTCTCCCACTTAAAAAGATGAGAGAGGCCTGTAATTTTCATCATAGGTACACGTCAACTATGACAGACAAAATGAGGAAAAAAATTCCAGAAAATCACATTGGTGGATTTTTAATGAATTTATTTGCAAATTATGGTGGAAAATAAGTATTTGGTCAATAACAAAAGTTTCTCAACTTTGTTATATACCCTTTGTTGGCAATGAAACGGGTCAAACGTTTTCTGTAAGTCTTCACAAGGTTTTCACACACTGTTGCTGGTATTTTGGCCCATTCCTCTAGAGCAGTGAATTTTTGGGGCTGTCGCTGGGCAACACGGACTTTCAACTCCCTCCAAAGATGTTCTATGGGGTTGAGATCTGGAGTCTGGCTAGGCCACTCCAGGACCTTGAAATGCTTCTTACGAAGCCACTCCTTCGTTGCCCGGGCGGTGTGTTTGGGATCATTGTCATGCTGAAAGACCCAGCCACGTTTCATCTTCAATGCCCTTGCTGATGGAAGGAGGTTTTCACTCAAAATCTCACGATACATGGCCCCATTCATTCTTTCCTTTACACGGATCAGTCGTCCTGGTCCCTTTGCAGAAAAACAGCCCCAAAGCATGATGTTTCCACCCCCATGCTTCACAGTAGGTATGGTGTTCTTTGGATGCAACTCAGCATTATTTTTCCTCCAAACACGACGAGTTGAGTTTTTACCAAAAAGTTCTATTTTGGTTTCATCTGACCATATGACATTCTCCCAATCCTCTTCTGGATCATCCAAATGCACTCTAGCAAACTTCAGACGGGCCTGGACATGTACTGGCTTAAGCAGGGGGACACGTCTTGCACTGGAGGATTTGAGTCCCTGGCGGCGTAGTGTGTTACTGATGGTAGGCTTTGTTACTTTGGTCCCAGCTCTCTGCAGGTCATTCACTAGGTCCCCCCGTGTGGTTCTGGGATTTTTGCTCACCGTTCTTGTGATCATTTTGACCCCACGGGGTGAGATCTTGCGTGGAGCCCCAGATCGAGGGAGATTATCAGTGGTCTTGTATGTCTTCCATTTCCTAATAATTGCTCCCACAGTTGATTTCTTCAAACCAAGCTGCTTACCTATTGCAGATTCAGTCTTCCCAGCCTGGTGCAGGTCTACAATTTTGTTTCTGGTGTCCTTTGACAGCTCTTTGGTCTTGGCCATAGTGGAGTTTGGAGTGTGACTGCTTGAGGTTGTGGACAGGTGTCTTTTATACTGATAACAAGTTCAAACAGGTGCCATTAATAGAGGTAACGAGTGGAGGACAGAGGAACCTCTTAAAGAAGAAGTTACAGGTCTGTAAGATCCAGAAATCTTGCTTGTGTTTGTAGGTGACCAAATACTTATTTTCCACCATAATTTGCAAATAAATTCATTAAAAATCCTACAATGTGATTTTCTGGATTTTTTTCTTCTCAATTTGTCTGTCGTAGTTGACGTGTACCTATGATGAAAATTACAGTCCCCTCTTGTCTTTTAAAGTGGGAGAACTTGCACAATTGGTGGCTGACTAATTACTTTTTTCCACACTGTATTACCTCAACTAGCCGGTGCCCCCGCACATTGACTCTGCACCGGGACCCCCCTGTATATAGCCTCCCTACTGTTATTTTATTTTTTTTCTGCTATTTTTTTTCCAACACTTTTTTTGTTTTATTTTACTTTTTTTATTAAGAAATAAATGCATTGTTGATTAAGGGCCGTAAGTAAACATTTCACGGTAATGTCTACACCTGTTGTATTTGGCACATGTGGCAAATAAAATTTGATTTGATTTGTCTTAACACATCTTTATTTCTTGCCCCTCTGTTCTGTTCAACCTCTTCTTCTACTGATCCAGATGAGAAGACTTTGTATTTGACGCCAGAGCAGGAGAAAGACAAGTCTCACTTCACAGACAAAGAGGTCAGTGAGAAGTTATTCTCTTTCCATAACCAACACAAGTGTATGAAGGAATTTCTGTTGTGGTCCCAGATCTTATAAAATGTGATGTAAGCAAAATTTAAGATAAATTATATCTACTTCCTGTGTTCGCATCCTCCACTTTTTTACGTGGGGAATTCTCATCACAAACGGATCTCTTCCAATTTTCCCTGATCAACTTTTTGGGTGTGGGTGTATTTCTACAGACTGGCCAGGACCATGAGCTGATCGAGAGCCTGCCATTACTTGAATGGTTCGCCAACAGCTATAAGAAGTTTGGAGCCTGTCTGGAGATTGTCACTGACAAGAGCCAAGAAGGATCACAGTTTGTCAAAGGCTTTGGTGGAATTGGTGGTAAGGGTTTAATTATACATTCATAACAAAATTATTTTACTATTTTGGGGGCGTTTTATTCTGGTTTCATGTGAATAAATAAAAAATGTCAGTGTAGATTGGCAGTGTAATGCACCTCTGCAGAGTAACTATACTGAACAAAAATATTAATTCAACATGCAATAATTTCAAAGATTTTACTGAGTTAAGTTCATATAAGGAAATCAGTCAATTGAAATAAATGTATTAGGCCTTAATCTATGGATTTCACATGACTGGGAATACAGATATGAATCTGTTGGTCACAGATACCTTTTAAAAAATGGGCCTCACAATAGGCCTCAGGATCTCGTCACAGTATCTCTGTGCATTCAAATGAACATTGGTAAAATGCAGTTTGTTGTCCGTAGCTTATGCCTGCCCATACCATAACCCCACCATGGGGCACTCTGTTTACAACATTGACATCAGCAAACCACTCGCCCACATGATACCATACACATGGTCTGCGGTTGTCAGGCCGGTTGGACGTACTGCAAAATTCTCAAAAACAACGGAGGTGGCTTATAGTAGAGAAATGAACATTCAATTATCTGGCAACCGCTCTGGTGGACATTCCTGCAGTCCACATGCCAATTGTACGCTCCCTCAAAACTTGAGACATCTGTGGCATTTTGTTGTGGGACAAAACTGCACATTTTAGTGGCCTTTTATTGTCCCCAGCACAAGGTGCACCTGTGTAATGATCATGCTGTTTAATCAGTTTATTGATATGCCACATCTGTCAGGTGGATGGATTATCTTGGCAAATGAGAAATGCTCACTAACAAGGATGTAAACAAATTTGTGCACAACATTTGAGAGAAATAAGCTTTTTGTGCATATGGATTTCTGGGATCTTTTATTTTAGCTCATGAAACAAGGGACCAACACTTTACATGTAATGTTTATATTTATGTTCAGTGTAAAACTGATTATTCCTTTTATTTACTCCCCACAGGGATCTTGCGGTACAGGGTGGATTTCCAGGCCATAGAGTACCAAGGAGAAGACAATGAGTTATTTGATTTGGATGATTACTAGGTGGTCGAGACTGACGCGAGGAAACAATAAATTAATCAATTAGAAGGCTTTCCCTGATTTGACCGACGAGACTGGTGGAGGGAAAGAAAGTCGTCAGGAGGGAGACCCAGACCTTCAAACAAAAGAGATGGACGTGATACTGTAAATCAATGTATCCCTGACTTGAAGCAGCGACTCCATCTCCTGGTCGGATGGAGCTCGTCTTGGTTTGTTCCTCTCCACTTAATGACTGATTCAAAGTGACTGACAGCAAGGCCACGCTCCTCCTGCCTGCTCGGCCCGCTCTAGGCCACACTGATAGAAACCTGTTTTTCTCATCACGCCCTACTTTCTTCTTCCCAACTAAATTTCCCCATCTTTCTTTTTGTCTTTTTTTTTACTGGTATCTGCTGCTGTTGTGTTTTATGAGATTCTGATTATTTTGTTTTCCTTTTTAAAATCAAATGTATGTAGTGGGCAGGGAAATAATAATTAAATTGGAACTGCTTGACTATTCCATACCCTGTCCCAGCCTCCTGTCTCATCCTATCTTTATTTCAGTACCTGCTTTGTTTTGTCCCAGCTTCCCCTCTGGTAATGTATCCACTGTTACAGGTGCTGTACTCTGAGCCTATACTGTTCTCTTGAACCTGTTTTCATTTCAAGGACCTGTGTCCTTTATTACTCATACAGACTGCCCAGAGCTGAGATTTAGGATTGTACAGCTACATCGTCTGTTTTTATATTGCCTTGAATACCACACACCGTCACCACTCTGTCTCCTTCAGCATAATGAACCATGCCCTCAGTGCTGTGCACCACGCATACTTTCATATTCCCCAGAGACATCTGTGTCCAATGTTAACTGTGATTGATTGTCTGAATTGCACAGTGACAGAAACTGACCAATCTGAGAGCCAGTATGGTTGTTGCCTGGCAGTTTTGTGTGGCTTGACTTCCAGGCATATTACTGGTATGAGTACTCATCTGTAGTTCTATCGACATCAATAGAAACCTGTCAGTTTTATTATTTTGAGTATGATTGATTGTACTGGATGTGAACAACTGTACTGGCTCGGATTGCCTGAGTGAGTTTGGTTGATTGGCTATCCTAATTTGAATGTGGATACTGACACTTTACAAAAGTTGAGTGCAGCCCCTCTCCCCCTAAGAAAATCTGAACACTGTCTCTAGTCTTTCCCCTACTATTATATAGGGTTGGAAGACTCCTGCCTAGCTCTGTTTCTCCCTACCTGAAAGAATTAAGTCAGAACATTTTGGTCAGATGTTGATTTGGGGGTCTTTGCGGCCTGCATGGTCTAAAAAAAATATTTTGTCAGCCTGAATGTGAGCTATTAAAAAAAACACAACTTAAAGGATTTAACTATTGTCTGAATCTGCCACATAAGAATGGTGTTGTGTGATGGGTGGTTCTCCTTAGTCCCTTTTGGGGCACAGTGAGCAGTTTTATCAAGTAATGAATGTGATGAGTCTACTTTGCAACATCAAACACACATGACATTTTCTGGATTTTATCTATTCATGTCACCTTTTTGTATGAGACACGTATTAAATGTCCTCATTGTTTGCAAATCCGGTGTCAAGACTTTTGGTTGTCCCAATGGATGTCCTATATTTTCAGAAAATCAAGATTGTGGGAGATATTCCTGCATATGACTTTCATGTGTTGACTTCAGGGGTGTTCTGTTTGATTCAGGGCTTATTCATTACACACTAAGTAAATATTTCAATAGGAATTGTTCAGTGTATTGGTACATCCACTGATCTGTGAAAAGTACAATATTCTCTTCACTGATAAAAGGGACATTTGTTAGTTATTATATTAATCATAATGTCCTGCCCTTGCCAACATAACAATAAGTGGCAAGTGGGATGCATTATTATACTACCATAGCTATAAAGAGTTAAGCCAATTTTTGTATTTAATGATCAATGTCTACTTATCGGCACGGCATAGATTCGCTAATCTTTACATCACGAAGAACTGTTGTAACCAGTCTTTTCGAAGTGGAAGTAATTTATAGATCACACAATCTGTGCTCAGCACCTTGCTCAGGTCGACCCTCGAACAAGCACACAACCTCTTTGGTTTAGCAGCAGAAAAGCGCCAACTACGAAATAGCACATGACAACAACACTTTCATTATAATTTTTCGACCTACCAAGTGTATCTATGCTTGAGTGAACCCCTCCCCCAACCCTGTGTTCTGTGACGTCATATCAGCTGCAGGCGGACGCAGGGCTGGGTTTCCATTTTCGCATTGAGCGAGTTTCGGGGAACAAGAATATGGAGCCGGAGATGGAGGACAAAACGTTGGAGCTGATGGTGAGTTTTGAATCGGATGATTACTCGCTGCGTCGGAGGTTGTAATATGGTAGTATCACTCGAGAGAAGTTTAGATCGAAAGGATTTGGAACAAACAGGAGGGCCTAGATGACAGACAAAATAGATGCTAACTAGCGTTAGCTAGCTAGGCTAGCGAGCCGAGCGAGGGCCCAGTGTCCGTGATCGAACATTAACCCGTGGCTCATAATTATTCTAGTTAACAGCATAATGTTGTTTTGTGGAATGATTGGGAAGAGAATGATTATCATCCAAATGGTAACTTAGAGGTCGACACGACGAGGATTGAGTCGGCTAGTAATAGTAGAGAAAGGGCCGTATAGTGGGCCCCGTCGTTAAGTTAGATGCTAGCTAGGTACAGTAACCAGTTAAACTAGTTAAGTACCTAGGAAAGTAAACTAGGCGATTGGATCTCACTGCGTCGCCGCTGCGCCATTTGTCCGGCTCAAACAAGTTAACGTTAGCCGCAGCACAAGTTAAACCTAAAGTTAGGCTTCAGATAAATGTATGGGTTCTTGAGCGCCTAACTAACGATTTGTTTTGTTAGGTAACTACCCAGATTGTCAACCAAGCACAGGTATAAATATATTCCTAGCTAACTTTAGCTAAAACAGACACTCTCCACCCGAGCACTGGAGTTTAGTATCTGTCATTGTGATCAGTGGCATTTTAAAGCTGCGTAGAAGGAAGTAGTTAACTGACGTACGCTTTACTGGTAGTTAACCATGTCACTATTGTAGCTGTTATGTTGAAGCAAACAGCCGGAGTTATAGCTACATTTTCTGAGTAGGTAGCTAACTAGCAAGTCAGTATGACAACCTCATCAGGCAAAAATTAACACGGCTAACTAGGTTAGATATTCAGAATGATACAAAGGGTTGTTTGGATCCTGGATATTGATTGTGGGACACAAACTCCCGCAATACCAGCCGACGTGATAATTCCACTGTCCCGCAGCCCAGACAGGAAATTCATAAACTTCATCTTCCTCCGGGAAAAAAGCGTCTACACATTATTTTTTCCATGCTACTATTTGGTTTGCGACAGTTGGGGGTTCTATAAACCTACCGGTCTACCTCTACGACCTGTGCAACAATGTATCGTTTAAAATGTTTACAAACGTGATCTCTCCGGTGCCAGCTAGCCCAAGAATTAACGTGAAACTAATAATTCACCAAGGGCCTGGACACCAGTATCGCTATACTATTTATTATTGTGACAAGACAACAAAACAGAAGCGGATTTAACTTTAGGAAAACAGCCCTGATGTTGTCATCCAGAGTCACATGTATTTATTTTCCAAACAATAGCACACAATATTTTACATATCGCTGGAGTTTGTTTGCCTCGTGTTTACATTTTAGCCCTGGAAAAAATATCGCATTACTGCCATCCCCCTTCCCTTAAGAAACCAAGAGTGGCGATTTTAGCATGTAAATCTTGGTGGGACTAACAAACAAAATTTGGGGGGATGCATGCCAGCTAAGCCACAACACTAAACAATGCATGAATTGCACTATAACGGTGACAAACGGTGCCCACAAACTGTTAGGGCCTACTAAAAGCTGTCCCAACACCTTACCACTGCTACACCTGGCTATCAGCGGAGCCTTGTCTGGCAGTGAAACAGTTCATTCAGCCCCATGTACTGCCTTAAAAAAAAAAACATGGCTGACTTGCTTAAACACATGTGGTTTCTACTGACAATTGAGATGTACATACTGGCATAAGGGGAGGACAAGCGGATAAGTGGCAATCTGTAATTTCGATTAAGACATTACTGAGTGAGCTAGAACGTAGTCAATATAACTATTTGTTCAGCACTTTTGAAATGTACAGCAACAGAATTCAGAACATGGGAAGTTCATCCAGTGTTCTCCCTGTACACCAAGTCAGAACCGTAGGATAAATAAAGGGGGTATATAAGCAGACAATGAAAGCTCTTACAATATTCGATGATTACATTTCTCTAAAACAGGTTATAGGCTACATGTGCATCACCAAGTCAGAACAGTAGGTGAAATGTAAGAGTGGAAAATATACCAAATTATTAGGGTGAGGCACATGGCTACACAACATACACGTAGTATAACTTTCTTAGCTCTCGAGTGGCGCAGTGCTAGCTGTGCCACTAGAGATCCTGGTTCGAATCCAGGCTCTGTCGTAGCCGGCCATCACCGGGAGACCCATGGGGCGGCGCACAATTGGCTCTGCGTCGTCCAGGGTAGGGGAGGGAATGGCCGGCAGGGTTGTAGCTCAGTTGGTAGAGCATGGCATTTGCAACGCCAGGGTTGTGGGTTCGATTCCCTCGGGGGGCCAGTATGAAAAATAAAAATATTATGTATGCACTCACTAACTGTCCGCTAAATGACGTAAATGTAAAATGTTAGCTACAGTATACCTCCCTGGCATATTATGTCATTTATGCAGCAGCATACATTACATTTTTGGACTCACCTTGTTGTGCTGTACTCACTTGAACAGGAAGGTGGCGTGGCGGTCCTTTGTGGGCAAATTTTGTCTCCAAACTTTCTCATCAAAGTCTGGCATTCTCTGGATTTATTGTACTTTCAAGACAACTGGGAACTCGGGGGGGAGAAACAATGTCGAATCATGATGACGTCAGTGATCTTCAGGTCGTAGCTCTAGAAAGAGGCCCGAGTTCCCGATTTACAATACAGAGTTGGATCACCGTTCAAAACATATTTTCCCAGTTGGAGCTCGTTTTCCCTGAGTTCCAAGTTTTCTTGAACTCACTGAAGTCAGCTTTCCAGTTAACAGTTGTTTTGAGCGTGGCAGAAATCATGCTGGATTGACAGCATGGCCAATGTTGAATGTTTGTCATTAAGCTTGGAAAAGAGACCCTTAAACCCATATTTGGAACCACACAGCTACTCCACTGAATAGCAGGCTAGTGATTGCTTGCAGTTAGGCACTGATTCCTTCCAAACCACTCATTGTTGAATTTGCGATTTCCAACTTTTGTAATGTTTATGTTCAATGGCCGATGAGCACCGATACATTTTATCTATAATTTCTCTTCTTAATTTCTCTTCATATGACAAGGATTAAAAAGGATTTGCCAGTAGATTGTGCACTTGATTCATGATGATGACTGCTAGTTAAGATTTTGAAAGTATGATGTTGACATGATCAGTCCAATCAAAGCTACTGTAGATATAACGTTATTTGACATAATTTTATCTGTGGCCAATGACCTTGAGCCTTCTTGGATGGGCACTTATACTGTAACTCTATGGCAGCACCCAAGGGGCTTGAATTTTCGAGCTCTACCCTTAGATTTGGCAGTGACATAGTGTCCCCATGAGTGACAGAACTGAGCCAATCACGGCGCAACTAGAGAACATTACCAACCCCTACTCTCCGTATTTTCCGCTGGCTGCCCCACCACCACAGAAAGCACTGAGCTAGGCTGAAACACCTGCATTTTGGAACTGCCTTACTCAAGAAAGCAAAAAAGACCATGTTTGTATGCAGCTTTTTTTTCATCTTTTTTTTATTTTATTTTTTTATTTTTATACATTGTTTGCAAACTGATGTGACACGTATTAATGCCAAAATAACAGGCAACCCCAAAATTATTCTTATTTTTTTGCTAAAAATGTGGGTCTCAAAACAGGTGGGGCTCTGCCCATAAACACTCAGAATTCAATTGATTAATTAACCAGCGCAGTGCAGCCTATGTAGGCCTATTTGATATTTATTCAATCATTATTTATTGAAGTTCTTGTCTCATCGTTGAATCTCTGCTAGCTAGCTATATGCCAATGATTTGTTTAGCATTGCTATGTCAAATGATTAGAATTAATGACTGGGTCAAAATATGAGAAAAGCGCTAACGACCAGCCAGCTTGGATAGCAACTTCAGAATCCAAAATGTATCCGATGCAGGAGGCAAGGGAAAATAATGTCTGTGTGGCCATCTGTGTGAGAGCTCACTAAATAGTTATTGGGAGCCCCTAACATGGAGAACAGAAAGCGGTGGAGTGCCATTGTAGCTGGCAACGATATGAGTGGGACGTCCCATTCTCCACCAAAGAAGAGGCAAGCCCTGGCTGTCACCAACCAGCGCCAGTAACATGGAGAGTTCTTCCACTCTTGTGCAATCAACAGAAATGTCACTAACATCACCAACTAGCTTGGTTAGCTCTGACTCGCCAACAATATTAGTTGGTGCCTATGTAGGCCTATTGGAAATTTATTAAATCATTATATATTGAAGTTCTTGTCTCATCATCATTGAATCTCTGCTAGCTAGCTACATGACAATGATTTGTTTAGCATAGCAATGTCGAATGAATACAATTATTAGAATTAACGACTGGCTCAAAACATGAGAAAATAACTAATGAGCAGCCCACTTGGCTAGCAACTTCAGATTGCAAACACGAATTTGGTGAGCAAATAAATGCCGCCTGCTGGAGAAGACAGATTTTGGGCCCAGTTATCCCTCTCGCTTCACCTCTTCCTCTCTGTAATAGTTTATTTTAGGCCTGCTACGTTAGGTTAGCTAGGCATTAACGTTAGCTAGCTACCTGTAGATGCTATTTTTGATTTAGCCATCCATAGATTGCTGTCACCCACGTATCTTATTATATAGCTAGCTACTGACTGAGTGGTTATGCACCTCCACCGGCGCATTTGTTCCATCCAGTGTTCTCTGTTTTGTCACCTTAGAAAATCTTTGCCCATGTTGATCATTTCTCTGTTTCCACACAATATGTCACTGGCACTATCTTACAAAGTAACGTTAGCAGCCTAGTCCTGTGCTTTTGTATTGGACAGAGCATGCCAGTCTAGCCTTGTGACATGTTAGGCTAGAGTCATATGACACTCACTTAAAGTTGCAATATGTACCTTTTTTGGGGCGACCTGACCAAATGCACATAGAAATGTGTGTTATAGAGCTGTCATTCTCATTGAAAGCAAATCCTAAGAAGCGGTAGATCTGATCTATGTGCATGATTTCTATGCTTTGCATTAAGTTACGTTTATGCAGCTTTTGGTTTCGTACAATAGCTTCAAACAGCTGAAAATACATTTTCCATAACCAAAAATATTGTATTTCACAGCGGTTTAGACGTTACATTGATTATTTACACTATACAGTGCATTCAGAAAGTATTCAGACCCCTTTTTCCACATTTTGTTACATTACAGCCTTATTCTAAAATTGATTTACATTGTTTTTTCCCCCTCATCAATCTATACACAATACCCCATAATGACAAAACAAAAACAGGTTTGCAGATTTGTAAAAAAAAAATTAAACGGACATCACCTTTACATAAGTATTCAGACCTTGCTCAGTACTTTGTTGAAGCACCTTTGGCAGCGATTACAGCCTCGAGTCTTCTTGGGTATGACGCTACAAGCTTGGCTCACCTGTATTTGGGGAGTTTCTCCCATTCTTCTCTGCAGATCCTCTCAAGATCTGGCAGGTTGGATGGGGCGCGTTGCTGCACAGCTAATTTCAGGTCTCTCCAGAGATGTTTGATCGGGTTCAAGTCCAGGCTATGGCTGGGCCACTCAAGGACATTCAGAGACTTGTTCCGAAGCCACTCCTGCGTTGTCTTGGCTGTGTGCTTAGGGTGGCAGGTAGCTTAGTTGTTAAGAGCATTGTGCCAGTAACCGAAAGGTCGCTGGTTCTAATCCCCGAGCCGACTAGGTGAAAAATCTGTCTGTGCCCTTGAGCAGGGCACTTCACCCTAATTGCTCCTGTAAGTCGCTCTGGATAAGAGCGTCTGCTAAATGACCAATTATTTATTTATTATGTGTTGCCCTGTTGGAAGGTGAACCTTCCCCCCCAGTCTGAGGTCCTGAGCGCTCTGGAGCAGGTTTTTATCAAGGATCTGTCTGTACTTTGCTCCGTGTGTTTTAAACGTTTTAGAAAAAAATTCTGATAACCGGTTTTCACTTTGTCATAATGGGGTATTGTGTGTAGATTGATGAGGGAAATATTTTATTTAATCCATTTTAGAATAAGGCTGTAATGTAACAATGTGGAAAAAGGGAAGAGGTCTGAATACTTTCTGAATGCACTGTACTTGCTTGTTTTGTCACAAACTGAAATTAGGCGAACTATTTGAATTTTAGCAAGCATGAAATGGTGGGGCGATTTCTGCATAGTGCATCTTTAGTGTGGATACAAGCAGGAGTAATGTCTGCAACATCGACTGCATGTGTTTTGTCTACAAGCATACTTAGTGAGGGGAAAAAAGTATTTGATCCCCTGCTGATTTTGTATGTTTGCCCTCTGACAAAGACATGATCAGTCTATAATTTTAATGGTAGGTTTATTTGAACAGTGAGAGACAGAATAACAACAAAAACATCCAGAAAAACGCATGTCAAAAATGTTATAAATTGATTTGCATTTAAATGAGGGAAATAAGAATTTGACCCCTTTACAAAACATTACTTAGTACTTGGTGGCAAAACCCTTGTTGGCAATCACAGAGGTCAAACGTTTCTTGTAGTTGGCCACCAGGTTGCACACATCTCAGGAGGGATTTTGTCCCACTCCTCTTTGCAGATCTTCTCGAAGTCATTAAGGTTTTGAGCCTGACGTTTGGCAACTTGAACCTTCAGCTCCCTCCACAGATTTTCTATGGGATTAAGGTCTGGAGACTGGCTAGGCCACTCCAGGACCTTAATGTGCTTCTTCTTGAGCCACTCCTTTGTTGCCTTGGCCGTGTGTTTTGGGTCATTGTCATGCTGGAATACCCATCCACGACCCATTTTCAATGCCCTGGCTGATTTGACGGTACATGGCCCCGTCCATCGTCCCTTTGATGCGGTGAAGTTGTCCTGTCCCCTTAGCAGAAAAACACCCCCAAAGCATAATGTTTCCACCTCCATGTTTGATGGTGGGGATGGTGTTCTTGGGGTCATAGGCAGCATACCTCCTCCTCCAAACACGGCGAGTTAAGTTGATACCAAAGAGCTCGATTTTGGTCTCATCTGTCCACAACACTTTCACCCAGTTCTCCTCTGAATCATTCAGATGTTCATTGGCAAACTTCAGATGGGCCTGTATATGTGCTTTCTTGAGCAGGGGGACCTTGCGGGCGCTGCAGGATTTCAGTCCTTCACGGCGTAGTGTGTTACCAATTGTTTTCTTGGTGACTATGGTCCCAGCTGCCTTGAGATCATTGACAAGATCCTCCCGTGTAGTTCTGGGCTGATTCCTCACCGTTCTCATGATCATTGCAACTCCACGAGTTGAGATCTTGCATGGAGCCCCAGGCCGAGGGAGATTGACCGGTCTTTTGTGTTTCTTCCATTTGCGAATAATCGCATCAACTGTTGTCACCTTCTCACCAAGCTGCTTGGCGATGGTCTTGTAGCCCATTCCAGCCTTGTGTAGGTCTACAATCTTGTCCCTGACCTCCTTGGAGAGCTCTTTGGTCTTGGCCATGGTGGAGAGTTTGGAATCTGATTGATTGATTGCTTCTGTGGACAGGTGTATTTTATACAGGTAACAAAATGAGATTAGGAGCACTCCCTTTAAGAGTGTGCTCCTAATCTCAGCTCGTTACCTATATAAAAGACAACTGGGAGGCCAGAAATCTTTCTGATTGAGAGGGGGTCAAATACTTATTTCCCTCATTAAAATGCAAATCAATGTATAACATTTTTGACATGTGTTTTTCTGGATATTTTTGTTGTTATTCTGTCTCTTACTGTTCGAATAAACCTACCATTAAAATTGTAGACTGATAATTTCTTTGTCAGTGAGCAAACATACAAAATCAGCAGGGGATCAAGTACTTTTTTCCCTCTCTGTAGAGGTTCAGTTGTAGGTAATTTGTCGCTCCAGACAAACACACCCTCACACTTCTAGGAGGACAGTAAGGCTGATAACATTTAGACACAGCCAGGACACGCACACTCACAGCCGGAAGTGTCAAGCACCTGCTGCCCTATAAAAATGGGGTTAGCAATGAAACCCCTCAGGATACAACTATTGCCATCTGTAGCATTTCCCAGTTCTCCATATATTTTAATTGTATGTTTTAAATGGAATTATCAGACCATTTTGTGTTATTAGGCGAAATCATAAATTACCTCGCACAGCCAACCTAACAATGTCTGATTTCATTACCTGAGTTGATGTCAATCTTTTGAATACAGATGTCAGATTGACATGGCTTTGCAGGTCTGGAGAAGGGGCAGCTGTTGACCAGCCATGGACCCCCCCCCCTCAAATCCAACAATCTACCGCTAACATAAATTAAACCCAGCCCCCGATGCTCAAACAATTAGTTTACTTTGACTGACAGCTTCTTCAGATGAGAAGTTATGGCAAGCCTCCTAGCCTGGCATTGTAATTTGGTCCCCATGGTAAATTGGATGTTGTGCAGTTTGGACCAGAATATTTGGGCTGGCTGTTAATGAATAGTATGTGTATTTTGATGTACTAATGGCCTGTCTCTCTCTCCTCCCCCTCAGAACACCACTTTCATGGACTCCCAGACAGATGAACTCTCAAAGAAAACCACAGTGTTCAAGGTGAGCCAGCAGTCCACGGCCAGACAGTCAGTTACTGAAGTTTAATGGAAGCTTATTTGCCTAGTCTACCTCAAAGAGCACATACACTAATGGTTTATCTACACTTTCTATGTCTTCATACTTCTCTTAAAAGTGTGCCATCAATCTTGACAATCTAGCCATTGTTTACAGTGTTCAGTGAAACAGTGAGTGTACTAATGCCAGACAACAGTGTAGCCTTTAGTCATAAAAAAAACAACCTTTCTCATAGCACAATGGCATCTTAGCCAGCGATTTTAAAAGGCAATCCACATTAACCAAAACCAGATTCAACATATAAAGCCAGTTTCCCAGACACAGATTAAGCCTAGTTCTGGACTTAAAAGAATGCTCAATAGAGATTGTCAGGGAAACCGGCCCATAGAGTTCTGTACACCGATTAGCAGGATTAAGGCCCAAAGCCCGTCCCTCATTTGACAAGAGAGCCATGTAGACTGAAGCTCTGATGGTTTATAACCTTTTCTCCTCTGTTCAGACGATCACTAACGGTCCGATGACGGGCTCAAGGAAGAGGCCATCGGAAGGGAACTATGAGAAGGAGAAGGAAGTGTGCATCCAGCTGTTTGACCAGTGGTCTGAGGCTGACCAGGTGGAGTTTGTGGAACACCTAATCTCACGCATGTGCCACTACCAACACGGCCACATCAACTCCTACCTCAAACCAATGCTCCAAAGGGACTTCATCACTGCACTGCCAGGTATGGTACACACTTGCTCTCGAGAACCCATGGTGCCTTATGGGACCATGTAAACTACAATCCCAACGCTCTGTTTTAACGTTTAGAAACGTCAATAATCATTGCTTTCCATACGGTTTTCGAAACGTATTAGTGAGAAATAATCTTTCAAATAAAAAATATACACTTACTGTAGCAGGTTTGCACAGATCCATACGGCTGTGTGTGCCTCCAGCCGACGAACTACACTTCTTCCCCCAGTTACGTTTACACACAGGTGTTCATGCACGCTGTATAGCTAATTAGCACAGGTTGTCGCCTCTGTCTTCCTTAAACAAGCGCTATAACATGGAGATATGGCTGTGTGGGAACACTAACCCTAACCTTATAAAGGTGTGTGTAGTAATTAGGGCTGACCCCAATTAATTGACTGGTCGATTGTTTGGTCGTTAGGCTGTTGGTCGACCAATATTTTTTTAGTCGAGCAGTAACCTATATATTCATGCCCATCTTAGTGAACTAATCCATTGCGGAGGCCTAGACTAAAAGCCAATTTATGCTTGATTTGAAAATGTGGTCGGAGGCTCCATATGGAGGGTGTGACACAATTGCAGAGGCCAAATCGAGCTCTGTACCGCATCGCCATGCGCCTCCCAAATGTTGTAACAATGCAGAGGGCTCTGTATAGCTCCGCATTGACATGATTGGTTGATGGTAGGGTGCGGTACATCCAGTATAAACACAAACTCACTTCCTTGACAACAGCTCTGCACTGCTCCACGAAGCGCAAGTATGAATGCCCTGACTTCTACTGAGGCCGTATCACCGTAAATGCTGTATGGCCAATGCATACGTCGGATTGGCCGTGCGCCCAGATGCACAATGCACTTCTCTTTCCAGAATGCCCTCTCTCCCGCCAATTTGTGCACATTCATTGATTCATAACTTCAGTCCCCCACAAGTTCAGTCCCCTGTAGCTCAGTTGGTAGAGCATAGCACTTGCAACGCCAGGGTTGTGGGTTCGTTTCCCACGGGGGCCAGTATGAAAATGTATTCACTCACTAACTGTAAGTCGCTCTGGATAAGAGCGTCTGCTAAATGACTAAAATGTAAAAGTAATAACTTCATTGTGTGAATTGTTTGCGTTTAATTGTTAGTGTATATCAATTCCCCATTACATATATCACCAGTAGTACATTTACCATTAATTCCTATAATTTCTAATCTACAATGTTTGTTACTTTGGTTACGGTAATGTATTTTTAATGCATTCAATATTATTATTCCTGTCTTCCTGTTCTTTTTGTCAGAGTAGACACATTGTTTGCAGAGTGCTCAACCTATGCTACACTTGTGAGAAACAAGTTTTGGTTTATTTAATTCCATTTACGAGTTCTGTCAATTTAGTCATTGTCTTTTGTTTGGAGCGCTCCTGTCAATGTTGAGTAAGGACGCGCACGCATAGAAGTAGGCCTATAGGCTACCTGGCCTGAGCGCAAATGTAGGCATATACAGTGCATTCGGAAAGTATTCAGACCCATTGACTTGTTCAAATTTTGTTATGTTACAGCCTTATTCTAAAATAAATTAAATACAATAAAAATCCTCATCAATCTACACACAATACCCCATAATGACAAAGCGAAAGCAGGTTTTTTAGAAATGTGTGTAAAAAAAACAACAACAAATAAACAAGTATTCAGACCCTTTGCTATGATACTCGAAATTGAGCTCAGGTGCGTCCTGTTTATTGCTTTGTTAGCATGACTATATTATAGCTAGAGCTGTCAAATGATTCAAATAATTGAGTTAATCCCATGGTTTTCTGTAGTCAACTACGATTAATCAAATGTTGTTTTAATTTGACCCTAATTAAAGATGTTTCCATTTAAATCACATTGGTTTGCAGGTATAACCTATTTGGATTATAAGGGAAGGAAACACAAAATAAACTATTCTAAGACAATAACAATAGATCAGCAAGGTTGATGTAAAATATCATACCACTATTAGATCTAGCCTTGGCTACTTCTTATCCATGTTCTTCAACATAAACTAGACAATTTGCTTAAATCTTGACCTGAGAACTACAACTAAAACTGTAGCTAAATGGAATGTAAGTTCTGTTCTGATTTTAAAATCATTGTGTAAAATAATAGTTGAATTTCTAGATGCATTCAGCCATGGCATTCTAAACATTCTTGTTTGTTTAGTTCGCTAGCTAGCCAACATTAGCTTAACGAACTAATTACTTCTGTGCAAATGACGTTTTTCCTGTTATCTAAAGAAACGCCTGGGAATGTGTTCATAGTTTAACTTTCTGTAAATTTTCCTTAAAATGTGTTACTCAAGCTGCACGCATAATGGATGTTTTAGCACCACAAGAGAGACAGCAGGCTGTACTGCAGCTGCTGCCGACGAAGAGGACCGAGTGCGTTGTGTTGCGCTCTAAAGGATCCGTGCGGAAACAGACTTTTGGGTGACAAAATTGAGATGGGATTACATGTCAAAAGAAATTACGCCGTAAAGAATTTTAACAGCTAATTGTAATTCACGCATTAACTTTTACAGCCCTAATTATAGCACCAAACTAATGCACTTACACATAATATACACAACCAATATACCACCTAACCACCACTACATGCTCCAAGGGAAACCACTTTACAGGCTCAGTTCATCCACACATTCCCAATATACGCATGAGTACTTCTAATCATTGTGTTAAACTAATGTGTTGCACTGTGTCTCTTCTTGTGCCTATAGCTCAGGGTCTGGACCACATAGCGGAGAACATCCTGTCGTTCTTGGACGCGCGCTCTCTGTGTTCGGCAGAGCTGGTGTGTAAGGAGTGGCAGAGGGTCATCTCAGAGGGCATGCTGTGGAAGAAACTCATAGAGCGTATGGTCCGTACAGACCCCCTCTGGAAAGGCCTGTCAGAGAGGCACCAGTGGTGAGTACGGACTGGGACCACTGGCTGGGCCACCCTGGATCACAATTAGTTTAATTAAAATCACTAGTAGAAGGGATCAAGATCTTTCCAGTTGTTGTTGTTATTATTATTATTCTCAAGAACCTACATGATAGACTGTATTCAAGACTGTTTCCAAAACTGTATCCAAGCGTCCTCACCTTAGAAAAAGACAATTGATGTTGTTGAGATGAATAAATGTGTGCTTTTTTTAAAATGGTGAATGTGTTCTCTCTCCTAGGGAAAAGTACCTGTTCAAGAATCGAACCACAGAAGTCCCACCAAACTCCTACTACCGCTCCCTTTACCCCAAAATCATCCAGGACATAGAGGTGAGTGCTTCTGCTTCTCGCCTTGTCCACTCTCATTCACCTTCCTCTCACTGATCTTTCCTGTTTCCCATTCACTGACCTGGCTCCACGCCCCCCTCCCTCTCCCTGCAGACGATCGAGGCCAACTGGAGGTGTGGTCGGCACAATCTGCAGCGGATCCAGTGTCGCTCAGAGAACAGTAAGGGGGTTTACTGTCTGCAGTATGACGACGACAAGATCATCAGCGGCCTCAGAGACAACTCCATTAAGGTTGGTGTTCCTGTTTAATGTTGAATGAAGGGGGAAAAACAAGTCTAATGCCTACTGGATATTTTGAATACAAGATCCATATTTTGAACGCAAAGTGCCTTACAATGTGTCATTTTAATAAATCATATTTTGGGATAATAATTTCTCGCTGTCTTGTCTGGTAGATCTGGGATAAGCAGTCTCTGGAGTGTCTGAAGATCCTGACCGGTCATACAGGCTCAGTGTTGTGTCTGCAGTATGATGAGAGGGTCATCGTCACCGGCTCCTCAGACTCCACCGTCAGGTCAGCACCTCTCCCTCTTCTCTGCTGTTGTCCTCTGTCCTCTTACGCATGCTCCAGGAAGCTCCAAAACTAGTTTTATTGAAGAGAAGAGTGGAATCTGCATGTGGTATATTGTGTCTGTGTTTGATATTGATGATCTCTCTCTGTCTCAGGGTGTGGGATGTGAACACTGGGGAGGTGCTGAACACTCTGATCCATCACAATGAGGCGGTCCTCCATTTGCGGTTCTGTAACGGTCTGATGGTGACGTGCTCTAAGGACCGTTCCATCGCCGTGTGGGACATGGCCTCGCCCACCGACATTAGTCTGCGCCGTGTGCTGGTCGGCCACAGAGCAGCGGTCAATGTGGTGGACTTCGATGACAAGTACATCGTGTCAGCGTCCGGTGACCGTACCATCAAGGCAAGTCTGCCCCGAAGATCCAGGGTCAGCTCACTAGAGCCTCGAGCATGTCACCATCTCAACAAGCATATGTTCTAGTACTTTTGCAGTGGCACAAGACTTACTTAGGTCCCACTAGGGATGAAGAAGACTAAGGCCTCAATCTCTGCCACTAGTCTTCTTTGTTCTGCCTTCCTTGTATTTTCCAGTTGGTGTCCATTTGAGCGCAACTTTATGGGTCCTTTCTTGAGACATCCTCAGCACATGTCCAACCCAATGGATCCTGTGCATCTTGATCTCAACAGCAATATTTTTACTTCCTGTCTTATATGCGTTAGAGATCTTGTTCGGCCAGTAGTTGTTGCAGATCTTGCAAAGACAGCCATTTGGCATCAACCCTGTTCATGTGTCTTAGTGATCCTCTGCTAAAGCATTGTAAAGTCGCTACTTTTGTATGGTTCAGAGTCTACTGAATGCACATCCTGCCTTATATTTAGCCAGGCTTTGATTTCTTGGCTCGTCATATAGTGTTTATGGTACTTCCTGTAAGCTGGATTGATGAGGGGCTTTAGTTCTTTCCCCCTGCTCTATATGAGCATGGCTGTTTTAATCAAATAAAATGGTATTTGTCACATGCGCCGAATACAACAGGTGTAGACCTTACAGTGAAATGCTTACTTACATGCCCTTAACCAACAATGCAGTTTTAAGAAAAATAAGTGTTAAGTAAAAAATAGATAAGTTAAAAATAAAAAATAATTAAAGAGCAGCAGTAAAATAACAGTAGCGAGGCTATATATAGGGGGTACCGGTACAGAGTCAATGTGCGGGGGCACAGGTTGGTCAGCCACAGAGCAGCAATCAAAAGCTAGTTATCTTCCCATCACTGCTTGTCATCATTCATTCACAAAAGATACTTGAATTAAAAAAAATACAAGCCAGCCACGCCTATCAAGTGCCCTCTACCCAAACCTAACAATCCTATTTCTGGTTGAGCTCAGTTGTTCTGTGACGTGTCCAGTAGAGGGCAGTATAGAGCAGGAGTTAGCCCAGCGTGTGATACTTGCTGTGGAAAGCACTGACTGAACCCAGAGTCCAGAGCTGACATCTCTCCTCCTAGGGCCAAACTTTGGGCCTGTCTCCTCACCTCGGCCCCAGATCCAGTCTCAGCCTCAACCCTAGTCTTAGCCCCAGCTCCAGCCCTGTACCTGCTTGCCCCTGTCTTCCAGACAGTGGATATGTGGGCAGCCAGGATTCCAGGAACAAAGAGACCCTGGTTAGCCCACCCATTGCCCTGGGAGACGGGCCAAGGCATTCTGTACCGAGCTGCCTCCCGCACACAACACCCCAGTGCTCTGAAAACATTCCACAATAAATAATTGAGGGAATGCAATATGTGTGCGTTTGGAAGAGTGAGTGTTACTCTACACCCAAAATATGGGTATTACTATTATACCTATATGTGTTTACATTCATGTGTTCACGCAGCTGCACGGTATCATTCTCTCTGACACGTGTTTGTGTGTGTGTGAAAGAGAGAGGGATATAGCTCTGGTCCAGACAGTGATTAGTACAGATGCATTCTAATGGAGGAAAACCGGAAGGATGCGGTTTCAAGAGATTAAAAGTAAAGGTTGTCAACTTGAAGGATTATGTAGGCTAAACGGCTGTTTGTGTAGACCTCAGGGGTTGTGTGCATTCGCTCATGTTTTGCCTTGTCGCCCCTGCAGGTGTGGAGCACCAGCACGTGTGAGTTTGTGCGCACACTGAATGGCCATAAGAGAGGCATCGCCTGTCTGCAGTACAGAGACCGACTAGTGGTCAGCGGCTCATCGGACAACACTATCCGGTGAGTGTGTTTGTTAATGAGGGCGAAAAATCTGTCAGCTATGTGTTTGTTACACTGGTCTATATTTATAGAACTGTAACCTGGAGATGAACATAATTTGTCATGGCTGTTCTCTCAAATGTTACTAAACTAACACTGATTATCTTTCTCTTCAGGTTGTGGGATATTGAGTGTGGGGCATGTTTGCGCGTATTGGAAGGCCATGAAGAGTTGGTCCGCTGCATTCGATTCGACAACAAAAGGATCGTTAGTGGAGCCTACGATGGGTGAGTCTTTATCCCTTTGTGGCAGGTGTTAGCCTGAGCTGATCTCTTACTACTAATGGAGATCTGACCATTAATGGGTTTATTCCCTCACTCTAATCCTGCACTTGGCCACTGCTAATCCTTGTTATTCTCTCACTGCTAATCTGACTCTTGGTCTCCCGATCTCAATCCCAGTCTCGGCCTGTTAATCAGAATAAATCTGCTAGGCTGTTAGTCAAACTTTAATAGGACAGAGTAAGGGATCCTCCAGTTTATCCACTAACATAACGTCGTCCCCAGGCTATTGCGCACAGCTCATATAAGCCTGGGATATCAACCACTCAATATTGGGCTTAGTGGGAGTGACCATAGAATGATATGGGAGTGACCTACTGTGTAAAGTATTTTGTCATTTAATTTTAGCTAATCGTACGACTGCAAGGCGTGGCTCTGTTCTTGTGGTGTGCTAGCGCACGGGGAGAGTTGGGGGGAAAGGTGTTGTGGGAGATGATTGGTTGATAGATTAAGCCAATGCCTATCTCCCGGCTCTCTGTATTGGCTAAAGAAGGCCAAGTTTGACTCATTGGTCCACCAGAGTCTTCGCGTATTTGGGCGGAAGTGTCTGGGAACGAGATTATCCATTGACAAGACTTGGAAGACTGTTTGTTGTTTACGTTATGTTGTTAAGAGGGTGTTTCTGTGATGTTTCTTTGTAGTAAAATCAAAGTATGGGACCTGCAAGCTGCTCTGGACCCTCGTGCCCCTGCCAGCACCCTCTGTCTGCGCACACTGGTGGTAAGTCTTGCCTGGATCTAGAACATGGAGATTGTGGCGACGATTATAAGGGTAGTTATTGTAGATGATACTGATGAATGTTGTTTTTCAGGAGCACTCTGGGCGTGTATTCCGACTACAGTTTGATGAGTTCCAGATCATCAGCAGTTCCCATGACGACACCATCCTCATCTGGGATTTCCTGAACGTGTCGACCAATGGACAGACTGAGGGCCGGTCGCCCTCTCGCACGTATACATACATCTCCAGATAGCAGGTATACACGACTCGCACACATTCAGTAGAGTACACACCTGCATACACTCACTAGATCTAACACACACTAGAGATGAAAACAAAACATTTTAGTGATCTTTTTTATAAACAAGATTTGGATCTGATTCAAAATATGTGGCTTTTTGATAGATAAGACATATTTTGAGTATGCACGCTTATCTCTTACTATATTTTGCAGGGTAAATTCGGCCCTAGCAACCATCAACTAATCGATTTAGAAAAAGTTGAACTAACACGAATGTTGTCCTGCAGACACGTAAATGAAGTGACACCTATAGGATCAATAGTGCAAATGGGGTGCACACGCAAAAAATACAAGTTGCCTTTTCTGAGTATATTATATTTATTGACACTCATCGATATGCCGTTGTCAGTAGCAGCAGGATGAACTGCACATATTTCAGATGGGTGCGATGCAAGATGTAAAAAAATATCTTGGCATGTGCATGATAGCTGCGGGACCATACCAGCCTCTCGATTCGTATTATTTCCGTAAAAGCCAATTTATGCTTGATCTGAAAATGTGGTAGGAGGCTTCGTTTGGAGGGTGTGACACAATTGCGGAGCTTCCGGAGGCATGCGGAGGCCAAAGCCTTTAAGTCTGCTCGACATTACTGTTTACTTTATGCATCGCTGACTCTACCTTTAAGCCCGCCACCCAATTTCTTCTATTGATCTTCAGTCTACAAAACCTTTTTGGGTAAGCACTGCAGCTCATGTACAACTCCAAAATGTTTTGCTCGGTGGCGCGACTACTGACTTAAATCGAACACACCTACAAGATATCATGAATAGTGTGCTGAGTGTGTGCGTCTCTCTCTGCAGGGCAGGCCTGGTGGAATGTGGTGTGTGTGTGTGTGTGTGTGTGTGTGTGTGTGTGTGTGTGTGTGTGTGTCCGAGGACAGTCCTGATGGCCAAGTCTCTGTGTCAATGTGTCAGGGTCAGAGATCAAGGAAAGGACCCACCCTCCCTTCCTCATTCCTCCATCATCCTCTTTGCAACATCTCTGTCCTCCTCCTGGTGTTCATGTGGAGGGGTCATCCCTCCCCATTTGCCCTTCAGTGCTCAAACACACTGCCCTTTACCCCCCGAAACGCTCACACTCTCACACAGAGCGAAGTCTATTAGGTCACACTCTAAGACCCACCTCCCCTTACTCTGCTCCCTCAAGACAGAGGCCTGGACATGAAGGAATCTGAACTGAATGGCTGGAGAGGTGGCGAAGGAGGCGGCTGGAGACGGCCTGTTAAAGCTGCCCTGGGGAGGAAAGAAAAGAGGCAGGGCCGGGGCTCAACTCTTCTTATCCAGACTGAGTGACAGATACCTCAGGCCCGCCCCTTTGGGCCCAAGGACTGTATCAATATTGTTCTTTTCTCATTTTGTTTGGTGGAAGAAAGAAAAAAGACTGGAAGAGAGAGCCTACGTGTACATTTCTTCCCTGAAGACTTTACTGCATGGATGAATGATGGGACAACCGTGTGCTAGTGACCTATTTGTTTTTCTAACTTTTATTTTTTATTTGGGACTTTTAATTCATTTAGCTTTCTTTGTTACATTGTACTAAGAATTGTAATTTTCTCTTTCCAAATCCCTCTCAAATTAACCCTCTCTCATCCCTAGTTCTCTACCTTGTGTCCCTTTTTCACTTTCTCTCCCTCTGTCTTGTTCTGTCCTCCTCTTGCTGTCTGCCTGTCTAGGTTCTGAATGACCCCTAACTGAGCGGAAATTAGTTGTAAACAGAATTGTCTCGTCTAAAATTGTGTTGTATATTAAATGATTTTTTTAAAGAAAGAAAAAACATTATTAATACGAATAAAGTACTTGACTGTGAAGGAGTGTAAACCAGCGTGTATGAGCAGTGTTTGTTCACTATAATGTATCTATGCCATTGGTACTGTATGTACAGACCAAACCACTACTCTGTTGAAGCGGACCTCACATTAGTGAATTGAGGATATATTATTAACTCTGAATTGGTGTGTGTAGTATCGAGGGGATGATCAAAGTTGGTCTGCAGACGGAATACTGAAGCACAAAAAGGGTGATCAGGAATGCAGCAATGCACTGGAACCCACATTCCTCTCCACACATATCCAACCCATTCTCTGCCTTGCACACATTGAGGTGGTTCGAATAATCTCGCCCGGGGGTGTGTTTTCACATGCAAAAGTGACTGCTTTTGAGCTTTATCTGCCAATGAAAAGAAATGTATGTTTCTAGACGATGCACCATGCTGACCGAGCGGCACAGATTACTGTTCGATTTGAGAAGAGAGCTCCTCCCTCCCCTCGATGACGTAACAGCCTTAACCCGGTGCTCAGCATACTCGAATCCACCCATTCTCTCAAGGAAATGTTTTATGGTAGGGAAGGGGTTAACTAGTCAGTTGCATAACTGAATTAATTCAACCAAAATTGGCCTTCCGCATTTAACCCAACCCCTCAGAGATGTGCAGTGGACTGCCTTAATCAAAGAAATGTGGTCCTCTGTAGCTCAATTGGTAGAGCATGGCGCTTCTAACGCCAGGGTAGTGGGTTCGATCCCCGGGACCACCCATATGTAAAAATGTATGCACACATGATTGTAAGTCGCTTTGGATAAAAGCGTCTGCTAAATGGCATATTATTATTAATCAACATCATCGGTGCCCAGGGAGCAGTTGTTGGGGGTTAACTGCTTTGATCAATGGCAGAACGTCGGTGTTTTTCCACCTTGGGGATTCGAACCAGTGATACAGGCCCAATGCTCTTAACCGCTAGGCTACCTGACGCAATGAAAGGCTGTACCTCCTGCCCCGCCATCTTCAGTACTACAGGGCAGAGACGGAAGAGAAAGTGAGACATCTTACAGGGAGGTGGAATAAGTAGACCAGAGCCGGCTGTTATTGGGCAGTTTCCCACTGGAAAACAAATCCTGTAAGTGGGTGTTCCCTCTCGTGTCAGCATGCCAGAGATTATGGAGGAACTATGAGCTCATGCGAGAGAGGGAACGCCCACTTACACAGACAGGAACCGTGACCATTTATGAAACATCTTCATTTATCCACCACATTTGCTACAGGGCACACATGCCTGTGAGACAGTCCCAGCTGCAGGAAATGACATGTTTATGGGTGTGGCCCTCAATGAGGCCACCATCCAGTTATGGAAGGGCTGCACTGCTCACAGGTAGATACACACTCATATATGTTAGTGTATAGGTACTCAACGTGTGTTTTAGCTCATTTCCCATTTATTAACTCCGTTATCAACTCAAGATTTGAGCTGGTGTGTATTAACCTGATCAGCATTGATTCTATGTATTGGCAGCTGCGTCCCATCCGAGAAGGTCTCCATAAGCTCAGCTCGTTTTCCAATGGAAGAATCAATTGACTTAATCCCGTGGTTTGGCACATATTCTGTGTTCTGTGCAGATGCTCCCATTTCCAGTGACCAACAAATGAAACTTGTACTCTTTTTTAAAATGTATTATTATTTTTTTTATATGGAACACAACAGCAATGACTGAGAGCATGGTGCCAGCAATGTCAAGGATATGAGTTGCCCATGTACCAATTTTCAATTATTATAAAAAAAAAAAATGGGAACTCGGGTCGGGGTCTCAACTTACTGAAAGTTAGAATAATAGAATACACAAGGTGCAATTTTGAAATTTGGTTGTGCATCAGCAGTCACTCAATTAGCCCATGTCAGTCTAGCGGCCAGCAATCTAAGCTTGTAGGAAGCTTGGTCAAATTACTGACCAGGATGGGGCCCCTTGATCATCAGTTATCATTAAGAATCATATCATGTGTAGAATTGCAGGAAATTTGCTGTAAAACTGCACATTTTTCTCTCCGACCCATGGCAAAATGAGTAGAATTGCAGGTAATTAGTTATAAAATTGGAAAATGTTCTCTTCGCCTCATGGCAAAATGTGTAGAATTGCAGCGAACTTGCTTTAAACCGGCAACATTTTCTCTAACTTTAAAACTAAAAAAAATGTTCTCTTCGCTGTCAAGAGGTGAGCCATTAAAATGTTTTTCTCGCAAGGTGGGGTGAATGGATGTGGGTACGCAGACACACGAGCCACTGCGGCCCCTCATGAGTTCGATTTTTTTGTGGCCCCCACCCTAATCAAAGTTGCCCATCCCTGACATAGACTGACCAGGTGAATCCAGTTGAAAGCTTTGATCCCATATTGATGTCACCTGTTAAATCCACTTCCATCAGTGTAGATGAAGGGGAGGAGACAGGTTAAGTTAGGATTTTTAGGCCTTGAGACAATTGAGACATGGATTGTGTATGTGTGCCATTCAGAGGGTGAATGGGCAAAACAAAACAAAAGATTTAAGTCACAGAAAGCGGCACAGGTCCTAATCCAGGCACTTGTCATCTCCCGTCTGGATTACTGCAACTCGCTGTTGGCTGGGCTCCCTGCCTGTGCCATTAAACCCCTACAACTTATCTAGAACGCTGCAGCCCGTCTGGTGTTCAACCTTCCCAAGTTCTCTCATGTCACCCCGCTCCTCCGCACACTCCACTGGCTTCCAGTTGAAGCTCGCATCTACTACAAAACCATGGTGCTTGCCTACGGAGCTGTGAGAGGAACGGCACCTCCTTACCTTCAGGCTCTGATCAGACCCTACACCCAAACGAGGGCACTACGTTTATCCACCTCTGGCCTGCTAGCCCCCCTACCTCTACGGAAGCACAGTTCCCGCTCAGCCCAGTCAAAGCTATTCGCTGCTCTGGCAGCCCAATGGTGGAACAAGCTCCCCTACGACGCCAGGACAGCGGAGTCACTGACCACCTTCTGGAGACACTTGAAACCCTACCTCTTTAAGGAATACCTGGAATAGTATAACAGTAATCCTTCTCCTCCCCCCCCCCCCCCCCCCCCCCCCCCATAAAAAAAAAAAGGTGGTTGTCCCACTGGCTATCCTAAGTTGAATGCACCAATTTGTAAGTCGCTCTGGATAAGAGCGTCTGCTAAATGACTTAAATGTAAATGTAAGTCCCTTTAAACGGGGTATGGTAGTAGGAGCCGGTTTGAGTGTGTAAAGAACTGCAACGCTAATCTGTTTTTCACACTCAACAGTTTCCCATGTATCAAGAATGGTCCACCACCCAAAGGACATCCAGCCAACTTGACACAACTTTGGGAAGCATTGGAGTCATGGGCCAGCCTCCCTGTGGAACGCTTTCGACACCTTGTTGTCCATGTCCTGACGAATTGATGCTGTTCTGAGTGCAGAAGGGGGTGCAACTCAATATTAGGAAGGTGTTCCTAATGTTTTGTACACTCAGTGTATGTTTGTGTTCAATTAAGGCAATACAATTGGTCTAAAACAGCTATCATGCCATCAAGTTAAATACATTATTTTAATAACGATAACAATTGTAATAAAATCCATTATATAATTTCTCAATTTCTCCTTAAATATTTTCATATGAGACAAACTGAAGATATTCTACTAACTATGTTACAGCAGCTTTCTGTATTGATTGAATAGGCAGCAACAGTAGCTCCTGAATCAAATATGAAGAGAAACATATAAGAAATGTCTTGAGAAACCATGACTGGCCCTCTGAGTTGGCTACACGTTATAGTCCAGTCGTCTGTCGTATCGGGTGAATGGTGGCAATTATTGCTGTCAACAAAGAGTCCGCTTATGCTGCACAATGATTAGAGGCTTTTATTAATATCACAAGGTTACAGCATAAGTTACAGACCCGCGGTGCCTGGAGAACGGCGTCCCAGATTGCAATGGCCGTTCTGCCTTCTCCTTCGGTTTTCCCCCTACTTATAAACAATGCAAAAAGATGCTCCCTCTTCTGGCCAATCACCAGTCTCCCCTGTCTACAACACACTTCCTGTCTGTTGTATGTGACGTTACACTAAAGCATTCCCTCTTGATACTAAAATCAACATTCTTTCAGTTCCACTTAAAAAACATTTAACAACGTCATAATCTCAATACACGACATATCCCCCCTTCGAGACGAACAGTCTCGAAAACAAACAGAATAGGATTATGACAAGTAACAATTTATCTTATTGAGTATCTTTAACATTAAACCAAAAACATTCTTCTCTAGAGTGTAAATACCTTTCTATGAAATATGAATAACTGTTTATGAAGTGTGAATACATTACTATGAAATATGAACAAATCTCTATGGAGTGTAAGAGCGAAAAACTGTTTGGCAACCTTCCATCCATCAATCAAGACAGTAAAATTCTCTCACGGTCCCTCTGCCCCAGGCAACCACCTTCAGTACTCCAGATAAACTCATAAACCATGTAAATGCATTTGAAACTATGATGCAATTAAA